CAGTTGCTGGAACTGAGCTGGTCTGAAGCCAGGAACTAGGAGTCCCTTCTGAGTCTCCCATGTGAGTGCAGAGTGCCAAGGACTTGGGCCGTCCTCTGCTGCTTTCCCAGGCCATAAGCAGGGAGCTGGATGGGAAGTAGCCAGAATTTGAACTGGCACCCATGAAGGATGGCTGCGTCTGGGGCCTGTGTAGGATGGCTGCGCCCGGCGCCCATGCAGGATGACTGCCCGGGCAGAGGCTTAGCCCACTGTTCTGGCACAGGGACCCTGTGGTTGTTTTTTTTATATATATTATATATATTTTGTAAGAACTTTTTTATGAAACTTGTAAAAAAACTAGCTCTTACCTTTCATGAATTCCTTTATGTAGAGTTACTTTCCCCCAGTTCTTGCTATTGAAAACCTAAGCTCTTTCCCTTTGATTTTCTCTACAAACTTGTGGGATTTTTGATTGTTGTTAGCCCCCTGTGTCTCGTCATCTTATACGTTGGACACGTATAAAAGCTCTAAATGAAGAATAAATATACCACTTACAGAAGCTTCGAAATAGCCATTTTGTTCTTACATTCCTAATTCTTTTGAGAAAAATAGCAAATAATTTGAAAATATTTTAAAATCCATGTGGAAATGGTATAAACTTTACTGCAAAAGATATTTTTTGCCAAAAAACTTATTTTTGCTGAATGTTCGGCTGAATGCAATGATGTATATAACTTGTGTGTAACATAAGAAATGTGGTTTATGAAAGTATTTTCTAGAACCAGGTCGTCAGTTTGAGTAATGCACTGTATTTCAAATCAGCCATGATCAAAACTAGTCCCATCAGTAGGACTGTGGGCAGTGTCTGCTGCACAGCCCCGTGGGGTACTGCCTGCTGCCTGACAAACCTGAGCGTGTTTCTCCTTGTGGTTCTCACAAGCAAGTAGTGACCTAGGGGCCTGGGAAGTAAAGTAGTTCTGCAAATGCTTGACATGGTGGACATTTTACAGACTCACTCTGGTTTTGTTTGCCAACCAGTTTTCGCACTGGTTATAACTTTTTGGTACACGTTGATAATCCTGAATTCCAAGGTATAGAGACAGTGAAGAAAACAGACTAATAAAAGCCCTGTTTGGGCCAACACTGTGGTGTGCCAAATTAAACTGTATGCTGCCGTGCCAACAGCCCAGGTGCGTTCAGTTTCTGATCTGGTTCCAGTTGTTTCACTTCCCATTGGGCGCCATGCTAGTCTCACACTGGTCTCCCATCCACTGGTTCACTGCCCAGATGATTGTTGACGCTAGGCCAGATCAAAGCCAAGAGCTAGGAAATTCAGCTAAGTCTCCTACATGGACTGTGTGTGTGTGGACTAAGTACTTGGGCCATCTTCCATGGCTTTTTCCAAGCCATTGTCAGGGAGATGGATTGAAAGCAGAGCAGACTGGACTTGAACTGGCGCTTGTATGGAATGCAAGTGTTACAGATGGCAGTTTTACCTGCTATGCCTCCATGCCAGCTTTCTCATTAAAAAAAAAGATTTATTTTATTTAAAAGAGCGAGTGGCAGGGAGAGAGGGAGATACACATAGATGGGGAGAAACAGAAATCTTCCATTTCAGGAGCCTGGAACTCCATCCTGGTCTTTCCACACAGGTGGGAGGGACCCAAGTACTTAGGTCATCATCCACTGCTTTCCCAAGCATATTCCACAGGGAGCTGGCTCCAACAGAGTGCCTGGGATCTGAAACTGTGCTCTAATGCAGGATGCTGGTGAAGCCTGGTGCATCACCATGCTGGCCCCAAGCAGTTTTCCCGTCATCGTCACCTCCCATCCTTTTTAAAGATCTCACACTATACCGCAGAGGGTGGTTTTGCAGCACTCACTAGCTCATGTTTCTGGGGATGAATCCCAGGATTAGAATAGAATCCCTGGGTGTGAATAATTTTGAAATTGTTATACATCTCTGATTTTGGAATTGATTTAAATTACTACTGGAAATATGTCTCAGGGAACAATCCATAAGTATATGAATAATATAGATCAAAAGATAGCCCTGGGGAAAATGCTAGAGTTTTGCCTGGGACTTGAAAGACCAGACCAGCAGGTTGCAGAATTGGATGTCTCACGACCTTGGTACTTTGACTCTGACGCTTGCTTGGTCTCCAGGGTGAAACCCAATGCAAATGGGATCAGAGATGGAAGGATGCAAAGGAAGAATGTGACTCATTCAAATGCAACCTTTCAGAAAAGGGGCATGGGAGAAGCACTACTTGTTATAAAGTGTGCCTGGGAGGGGAACACCCCCAAACACTCCATTTTGACATAAGGGTTATTTTGAGTTGAAGCAGCAAAAGAGCAGACTTGAAAAAAGATTGTCTTTATTTCCTCTAACTGCCCCAACTCCATCAGCCTAATATTAGGAAGGCAGGAGAATTGTTTTATAACCTGATTTATTTATATCTTCCTTCTCTTCAAATAAAAAAAAAAAGTAAATAAATAGAGACAGGCAGAGATCTCCCAGCGGTTCACTCCTGGAATGCTGACAACAAGCTGGACTGGGCCAGGCTGATTCCAGGAACCTGGAACTCAATCCAGGCTTCCCACATGGGTGGCAAGGAGCAAGTCATTTAGCCATCCCCTGCTGCCTCACGGGGTTCCCTTGAATAGAAAGCTGGTGTTGCAAATAGAATTGGGCCTCAAACCAGACACTTAGATATGGGATGCCAGCCTGCCAACTGGTATCTTCCCCCACTGGACCCAATGCCAGGCCTACTAATATTATCTCGTACATCAAAGGAAGTCTTGGTGATCAACATGCTTTGTTGTTATGTCTGAAGGGCAGAGGCACTGGGTAGTCTAGGAGAAACAAAGGGAAACTTGGAGGAGGAATTAATGCTCATCCTGTGATAGAAATCCTGGTTATTAAGAGCCAATTCTGAGCATGAAGCAAGCCTGGACATTAAAGGCAGGCATACTTACATCGCTCTGAGCTCCAAAAATGTTCAGCAATCACAACTCTTACTGAGTTTGTGACAATTCTTATTGGAGCTGTGCAGTGGGCACTTGCAGTGATGCTCATTTACAGATCAGGAAATTGAGGCGAGGAAAGACTAAGTTAAATCACCCAGTCACACAGCTGCATATGAGAAAACCCGTGCAATCTGATTTTAGAACCCAGGACCTTGACTCAGGCCCATCTTCTACCCACAGTTTAGATGGATCTATGTGTCCTTGCGGAAGTTGGTATTCTCCTTTGATTTAGGTATAACATTTAAATCAGTTGGTTAGAACATCTGACACTTGGAATTTTGCCTTACTTCCCGTCAAACTCAACAGTTTAGTCCCCTAAGCATTATGTCCATGGTACCAAGAGAGTGGAAATTTAATACAGCCGTGGGTTTCAGAGTCAGGACTATGGGAAGTGATTGGGTTGGACTGAGTCACTAAGGGGAAGACTGCAAAACTGAATGTAGGTGGTGCCATAGACTGGCATGCTGCCCAGTGCTCTGCACTGCCCTGGGAGTCTCCCAGCAAGAAGGTCCTGTCAGATAAGAACCCTAGACCTTGGGCCTCTATAGCCACGAGCCTAACTGAATGTTCTTGCAGAGTGGGCTGCCCTGGGCATTCTGTTAGACCGACTTAGAGCTGATTACTACAGAGAACAAGGGTGGTAGAGAAGGATACGCTCAAGCACAGAGCAGAGTTGGGCTGAGATGAACCTGAGTCAGGTTTGGTCAAGGAGTGAGTCTGCAAAAGAGGGAAGTGGGCTTGAAAACAGAAGAGGCCAGGGGGACAGTCTTGAAAATGATGATGACAAAAGAAGAGAAAAACAGAAGACAGAGAAAAAAGAACTTCTCTGTATTGATTTGATCTCTATCTTCTTCCAATAAAAATGGTCTCCGATAGAAATGGTGGAAGCTTTGGATATGTCAGAAGATGGCTCAGGTTTGTTCATCAGCAGTGTGCGGAGACCAAGACCACCCCGGAGAGGGGCCTGAGGGCCAAGCGTAACTCACAGAGTGTCGAGCAGCGGCAGGTCTCAAAAATTTCACATTGATGTTAATTCCCTGCCACACTCTACTCTGGGTTGTCAAAAGAATGATGCCCATATGGGATGCTGTTGCCACAGGCAAAGCTTAGCCTACTGTACCATGATATGAAATGTAGCCCTGATTTGAAATGTTTTCTTTTAAATCACAAATAAACCACTAAATATATAAGGTGATATTATTTACTAGTCTGATTTGATCACTTCACATTGTAAACATTTGTCGAAACATCTCATTGTACCCTATAAATATACACAAGAGGACTTCAAAAAATTCTTTGACAATGTCATCGGAAGATGCTTTGTTTTGGTACAAAGGTCTTTTTAAAGGCTAGGATGATGGCTTGTAACGCTGGCATCTATATTGGAGGGCTGGTTTGTCCCTGATACTCCTCTTTCAGTGTAGTTCCCTGCTAACATGCTTGGATCCACTGTCACGCATGTACGGGGCCATGATGGAGTCCATGGCTCCTCTCCTTGGCCTGTCTCGTCTCAGCTGTTGTGGCCATACCAAGAGGGAATCAGCAGACAGTGCTAGTTCTCTCTTGTTCGAATTCCAAATAAACAAGTCATTTTTACAGCTGATGCCTTTGCAGAGTCTTGAGAAAGTTCATGGAAAATGTATTATACAGAGCCATGCTTGATTTTCAAAAACTCTTTGCACCAAAATGAACTCATCTTCTAATTACACTTTCCATGAAGTTTTGGAGGCAGCTTTGCATAGCTGTTAATGAAAAACTGAAGAAAAAAAATGAGAAACAACTTTAAAAAGATTGAAATAATAAAAAGAAACCAAGCCATATCCTGTACTCTTACCACTCAGATCACACCTGTCCCACTCCTGTTTGTTCAAGGTTGAAACTCCAACTCACTTCCCACCTCTTCTTAGCTTTTCCATATCCTTATAGAGTCAGTCTGCTCTCTCCCCATCCCTACAGCACTGTGAACCTTGAAGGTTCATTGTGTTACTCACCAGTCTTTGTATTAGAGTCCATCCTCTATGCCTCCGTCTTTGCCCTGTTTGCCTGAAGAACAAGGAGATAAAATTCTTGTTAGGGCCCCACTGAGCTTGTGCATTGGCTTGGTTATTAAGGTTGGCTATATGGCTACATGGTTCCCAAGATCAGAATGAGGACCAGAGGCTGGACATCACCTGGATGTAGATTTCATCTGGCTATAGGAAGCAAATTCTTTGCAATGACAGGTGCTGACTGAGAAGTTATGTACCTCATGAAAGGTGAGTGAAAGATACTGAAGCCAAGGTGGGAAGCCCACTCTCAGGGATACAGAATTTTCCAGCTAGTGTCCAGCATCTCTACAGAGTGTGGTGACCTTGTAAGAGTCACATGCGATTGCAGACACAATAGAATCACAGGATGCTAATGGGCTAAGACTGGGTGAAGCATTGCCCAGGTGGTCTGGGGCTCACTCTGACTTATTCATGGTCTAATTGGCCCAATGTGAAATAGACTGTGTTTGGCAGAAAGTCGGCTCTGTTCCCTTCTTCCAGTCTTTCCTGCCAGCCCTATCCCTTCCCTTACGTTTTCCCACCCTGTCCTTGGTGTCTGCTGCACTCAGAAAGTCAGCTTCCTGATGAACTATGGTGAAAAGTCCTCGGTTTCACCTAACCGCATCTGAGGTGTCTGAATCGTGAAGTCCTGAATCTCTGGGGCTTCTGTGCTTGGTGTTGTCACGTGGACAAGGAGTTGCCAGCTCCATGTCTGCCAGGCACTTAGCCCCTGAACCACAGCTTCTCGGCTTCTTCTGACTGCTCTAGCTCTCAGCGTATGGCTCTAGTATTCTTTCACTATGTGGGTCCCAGATGGGTAGTTATCTGTCGTATTCATGGAGGGATTTGTTCCAGAGCCCCCAGGGGTATCAAAATCCAAGGAGGCTTGACCCGTTTATATAAAAATGATGTAATATTTGCAGACAACCTTTAACAGCCTCCCTTACACTTAAAAAAAAAAAGAGCACTTAAGAAGCAGAGTTACAAGGAGAAGAGGAGAGGCAGAGAGAGAGACAGAGACAGAATCTACATCCATTGGTACTCCCTAAATGGCCCTGACAGCTAGGACTGGACCAGGCCAAAGCCAGAAGCTTCTTCTAAGTCTCCCACATGGGTAGCAGGGACCCAAACACTTGAACCATCTTCCTCTGCTTTTCCCAGGCTGTTAGTAGGGAGCAAGATGGGTGACAGAGCTGCCAGGACACAAACCTAATACAATGAAAATGCTATGTAGTTGCTTGAGATTATGTATGGAGTGTTGATAAGAAAAAAGCATAATTGAGTAAGCTCAATTATTTTGTTTCCAGATATTTCCCACCCATGATTGGTTGAATCAGTAGCTCTGGACACCCTGAGTCTGAGGTATGAACTGTCACCCCCTTCCCAACCCCCTACCCCAGGAGATTGTTCTGTTTGCACAGGCTGCTTGCCAACTCCCTCAGTCTTACTCTGAGCCTCTTGTTTTCCCTGTGTGTGGGATTCCTTTCCAACATTCCTCCCACATCAAGGTCCTGATGATGACGTCCTATGGAACACCACTCCTCCACATCTGTCTGTTTCTCTTTACATCATACTTTCGCTTCCTACCCTTAGCCTTGAGCATCTCTACCCGACCCATGGGCCTGGAAGAGAATGTATAGCACCTCTAAACCCAAACTGATCATCTCCAAAGTGTCTTCGAGTATAACGGTAAGTCCTAGGCAATACCAAATTCCAGGGTGGGTTCTATTTCAAAAGTTCATTCCAAGGGACATGCTGAGAACTCACATTTCCCCCTTGCAGTGACATTCTTCATTGTGACTGGCCGTGCCAGTGTACTCCAGGGGAGCCCATGTAACCTGTGGGGTTATGTGGACACCCCGGAGCTGTAGAACCTCTAGGAGTCATAATGGTGGTGTGGAAAATGACCACGGTGTAAACAGTGTTTCTAGGGGAAGGTAGTGACAAGGTTCTGTCTTGGAATGCCAGGATCCCTATAGTTGTCTGCAGAGAGCCTGAGCACAGCCCAACCTCCTACTGAAAGGAAAAAGAAACTCCCACGGTGTATTGATAGATTTGAATCTCCAAGTAGAGTAAACTCATTTTGGAAATAAAGGAATGGAGGCTAAGAGAATAGTGCCCCATGACTATAATGGGCACTCATTTATTTTTATTTGAAAAGCAGAGTTACACAGAGAGAAGGAATGACAAAGACAGAAAGAGAAATAGAAAGATCTTCCATCTACTGATTCTACTGGTTCACTCTCCAAATGGCCACAATGGCTGGAGCTGGACCAGTCCTAAGCCAGGAGCTTCATCTGGGTCTGCCATGTGGGTACCCCACGTGGGTGCAGGGGTCCAAGGACTAGAGCCATCCTCTGCTGCTTTCCCAGGTCATAAGCAGAGAGCTGGATGGGAAGTGGAGCAGCTGGGACACAAACCAGTATCCATGTGGGATGCCTGCATTGCAGGCAGAGGCTTAGCCTACTTGAAATGGGGATTCTAGTGAAATAAAGTCTGGTGACCCCCAGGAAAATAGAAAGGATTCTAGAAGAATGAAAGGGCAGGAAAGTTTATAAAGATTGGGGGTAATGTTGTGAAGGGATAAGCAAGTGGCAGAGGTCGGAAATGTGAATGTTACACTTGCATATACTCTTCTCTGTAACGTTGGAAACCAGTCAGTGATGTCTACTTGTTTAGTCCTTGGAACAATGAATAATAGCCGTAGTTGGTCTTTCAGAAGGAAAAATATATATATTCTGAAAATGTATCTGTTATCTGAGTTGGAGAGAGAGAGACTGATTGATTGAGAGAGAGATTCCTCAAATACCTGCAGTGTCTGGGAAGCAAACAAGGGAGCCAGCACCTCTCCCTTTATGAGCTCTGTAGATATTGCTGAGGCCATGAAGATCAGTGGAGTTGTAAGTTTCTCCATAGCCTTGTGGATTTCGGTTTACTTACTTTTATCAGTGGTTTAGAGAAGGATGCTGGAGTCTTCAACTGCATTACCGTCCATTTTGCTGGTCAGTTCTACCAGCCCTGCCTCACATATTTTGCAGATCTGTTTGGTACACATGATGTTGCTATTATTTACTGATTGGCTGACCTTTTAATAACTTTATGATGGCATTTTCTGGTAATATCTTTGCACTGAAGTCTATCTCATCTGATAATAACATAGCTGTTCTGGCTTTCCTTTAATTAATGCTGGCAGGTGGCAATGGAAATAATTGGAGGCTGGTTGGAGAACAAAGGTGAAGTTGATTCAGCTGATCACACAGAGGATTGAAACTCAGAAACAGCTGGCCAAAATGCTGCAAACCTGTGTCTGCTCAGGGCACATTCATGCCCAGAAGAATTAGTTTTATTATTATTATAAACATTATTTACTTGAAAGGCTGAATTACGGCAGGAGAAAGGAAGAGAGAGAGATTCTATCTGCTAATTCACTTACCAAATGACTGCAATGGCCACAGCCAGGCTGACTTGAAGCCAGAAACCAGGGTCTCCTGGGTGAGTACAGGGGTCCAAGCGTTTGGGTCATCCAGGCCATTGGGAGGGAGCTGGATCTGAAGTGGAGCTATATGGGATGGCAGCATTGCTGGCAGCAGCTCTACCAGCCATTTGAATCAGATTTAAACAGTACAGGTCGGTGTGTGGTTATCAGTCCAGATGAGAATCAAAGAATACCTCACTGAAAACCAAAAACACCTGGCAATAATTAAGAGACTCGGTAATTGTTTAATGAGTATGTTGTATCCCCATACTCCATGCTTTTCATATGCAATAGAGCAAATAGTGGACTCTTTAACCACCACTCCTATGGTGGCTGGCCCTTAGAAAGCTCACTCTTTAAGGTACCTTAAGGTGTTGCCTTGCTCATGGCTGGGGTTCCTTGAGTGATCCTGTTCTTGGAAACCCAGCTGCCAGCACTTCCCCAGTGCAGGCAGTGAGCACCCTGGCTAACCTAGACTTCCGTAGTTACCACTCCACACACATTTTACTTCCTTTCTTTTTAAAAATCTATTTTATTTATTTAAAAATCAGAGTTATAGACACAGAGATCTTCCATCCACTGGTTCACTCCCCCAGATGTGTGTATTGGAAAGGGCTGGGCCAGGCTAAAAGCCAGGAGCCAGGAGTTTCATCTGGGTCTCTCACATGGGTGCAGGGATCCTGGGCCATCCTCCACTGCTTTCCCAGGAACATTAGCAGGGTACTGTAAAAATTATTCTTGATTTATTTGTAGTATTTTCAGATGTATCTCTATATAACTTTTTCAGTAGTTGTTTTTTTTTTTATTATTATATATAAGGGCACTTCAACAATTCATGAAAAAAAGTAAAATTAAAAGGTATGTCTATATTGGTACAAACTTTTCTCCAGCTTCTACATTTTTTTTTATGACATGAATTTCCCACAACCTTTTTGAATAGACTGTGATGCCCAGATTTCAGTATCTGTTTTTGCACCGAAAGAAACATATCTTCTAATTCCCTCTTCCACAGGGTTTTAAATGTAGTAGAAGCTATTGTAATTAACCGGAGCCATTATTTTACCAGTTTGGTTGAACTATAAAAATTCTTTCTTCCTTTATATTTTTGGCCTTCACTGTTGATAGTGTAATGATCTTAAATGTTTCTTCTACATATACCAAGAATCACATCAGATAGTGTTGTAAAAATTTTGCTTTGATAGGGACATATGGTTATCTTAGAACTGTTATCTTTGAAATATATGAAAACCATTCTGTTTATATGAATAAATGCTAATATAGAAATGGTCAATTGCAAGACTGAAAATAGAAAAAAATAGTAAAATTTTTATGAGCATTTAAAGAAGTAATTAAGCCACTTAGCAAATATAAAGCAGAAATGTCCAGTTTAGTGTCCAATTGCAAGTAAATGACCTTGAGGTCTTCTAAAAGAGCATCACATGTATGTACTTTGAAAATGACACATCATCACACTGTTATCATACTATTTTCTTTTTTCTTCGGACAAGTTCCAGATTGTCATTAAAAATTATTTGGCGGTTGGCACTGTGGCAAGGTAGGGGGAGCCTCTGCCTGCAGTGTCAGTAAGGCATTGGCTTGAACCCCTAGATGTTCCATTTCCAACCTGGCTGCTTGCTAATGTGCCTGGGAAGGCAGCAGAGGATGGTCCAAGTGTTTGGACGCCTGCACCCATGTGGGAGACCCAGAAGAAATCCTGGCTTTGGCCTGGCCGAACCCCAGCTGTTGCAGCCATTTGAAGAGTGAGCCGGCAGATGAGGGGCCTCTCTCCCTTCTCTCCCTCTCTCCCCGCTTCCCTTTCTCTCTCTGCATTTGAAATAAAATTAGGAAGGAATAAAATACCAAAAATACACTTGTTAGAAAGTACGCTTCATGTGCCAGTCCCAGGGGGATAAACATGCATTCATTTTCTTCATGTCATTTTTCTCTGTAGCTTTTAGCTGATGAAAACACCTTTTGTTTAATTCCCACAAGGTTATTTATACAGTGTGACCACATGGTTTCCTCTAAAAAGATCAGTTTTGTGTCGGTGTTCAGCTGTTTTTTTTAACATGTAAGCCTAATTCACTTCATCGCGCCCCATCTGGTCTGGTATTATTGGATTATCCGAGTTTACATTCAAAAGCCCCTCAGTTCCCTGACTTGAAGAACATGATGCAATCTTAATTTCTTTCCTCTTCTTCGTTAGCAGGTTATTGGATTTTGAGAACCCATGGGCATCGCTGGGCAAACATGGACTTCTCAGAGTGGTGTTGATCCAACACGGTGAGTCCAGTTGCCTTTCTCTGTTCTTGCCAAGGCCTTTTATGACTTGAGGCAGGTGACATATTCATAATAAAACCTGGATTTTCTTTGGGTGCAGGGGAAGGGGGACGTGTTATAAAATTGGAGACGTTAACTATGTTTAGACTTCCCTGTGGCACATACACAGAGCTGGCTCCTTTTGCACCCCTATGCCCCATCCAAGATGACAGTGAAGGAATAAAAACCACCACAAAAGCCAAGGGAAATGGATGCCAGATAAGAAAAGATAAAAGTGTTTGAGGAAGGCGAACTGTTTCGGATCGCTTTTCATCACTGCCATGAAATACCCTAAGCAATGAACTTTACAGAAAGGAAAAGGTATTTATAGCTCACAGCTTTGCAAGTTCAAGTCCAAGATTGGGCGAGTCCCTGGGAGTGACCTCTGGGAAGGGTGGAGGATGGCTGTGGTGCAGAGTGGGGGTGGGCAGGATCGCTCAGTGAGCCTAGGAGTGGAGGAGGGGGTGGGGCCTGGACTCCACCCTCTCCCAGTAATTGCTGTGATTCAGGCTGCCCCACCAGATGTCCTCTCCTGGAGCTTCCAGCACCTGCTAGCTTCATCTGGGTCTCCTGTGTGAGTGGCACTGGCCCAAGCATTTTGGTCAGACTCTGCTGCCTTCTCAGACACGTTAGCAAGGAGCTGGATGGGAAGTGGAGCAGCCAGGGCTCGAACTGGTGCCTACATGGGATGCCTGTGCCACCAACAGTGGCTTACCTCGCTGCAACACAGAACTGGCCTCTTTCTTTTTTCTTGTCTCCATCTACTGTTAAAGTCGGAACACTAAAACGTCCTTTCTTAAAATCCCCTGCTCTTATGTTTTCATACCTGTCTGGCTAATGAGGTAGAAGTTGATGTCTGTAAGGAATCTCTGGGAATCCTTTATTTTTCGGGATACTGATATAACCCTTTTTCCTTTCTTTTTCCTTTCCCTTGCCTTAAATGTGATTGTAATAGCTGGAGCAGAAGTAGCTGTCTTGGCCATGAGTGAGAGGCCAAGAATGTTCTAGAGAGTTTTGCCCTGGCCCTCTTTTATCCCTGGACCCTGACTTAAATCTCTTGAGTCTCTGTCTGAGTA